AGACAGTTTCATCTCCCTCGGACTCTCCTTCTTTTACTGAAAACCTATCCCACATCCAACAGTTTTCTGACCAATCTGGTCCTTGTCTTAACATATCTAAGTGCGTAGTGTGTATTTTCAATCTTTCCCGCTCATCATTTCCAACGAACTCCGCTACCCTTCACGATAACCCTGTATCTAAAATATATATATAATAATCAATTGATATTCCAAGTAAGTATTCCTCAGGATTTGACGGTACAACGTTACCCCGGGTTGTTACATTGAGCGAAATCCTACTGTCTATGGAGTGACATTTGTATTCCATCGGTCCTAATGTGCAAAAACTCAAAAAGATAAACTATAGTCTTGTGACATCGACTAAAACAAAATAAACATGAACAGATTTATGTTTTAAATAGTGACAAATTTGGTTTGTTTGTCAATTATAAAGCAAGAATTGTGTATTACTTCCTACAGTTGTCATAGTAAATTAACTCATACGTAAAACTTCAGACTGCATCGATTACACATTCCTTACTGCTAAAACCAATGACTAAAATATGTTCCACGTTCAGCAACGTTGCAATCTCCAAGTATCCCATACACTCAGAATGCTACCGACAACGCAAGCTATAAGATTTTTTATGCTGTGAATTTTAAATGTCATTCACTACATTTTTGGGATTGGGCATTCTTCTCACGGACTTGGTTATCAGAAAGTTCTATTTTATTCCTCATGAGATTTTAAAAAGATAGCATTTTCGTCATCATTGAGACAGTACTAATATCTTAATCCGGTGCTGTTGCATTTGAGCTAGTTTTCATGCACGAAGATCTCTCATCCACACCACGTGAAATGAAGGATAGACGCGATCGATTAACGGAGGTATGAATCACGTGCCATCAGGCACAAGGTTCATTTATCTTTGAAAATAATTAAAATACAACACTGTGTATGTACTGGTTCAGAAACGTCCAGAACCGCGCTATGGACAAACGGTTCTGTCCACCTACGGATGGTATGTTCTCGGTTAATTTGCTCACTGTTTTTCATTGAATAAGTCACCAAATAACCGGACGGAAATTTATCGATCATCAGACTTGAATACGCTCACTTTTATTAAATTAAACAATTCAGTTCGAATAGAAAACATAAGAACACGAAATTTCAAGGTGAAATCCGTAATAGGTGGAACAGAGAAGCTAGTACAGCACAACCACGTACGTAATGCATGTATTTGGCTGTTTGGATGCAACTCAGCTCAAGGCTACAAATGGAAAAATAACTACATATCAGTGCGCGATTTCACCAGACGTTGAGACTAACATGAAACGGACATGTTTCGGCTGGGCGGAGTCAGTTTAATGAACATATCCCATACAAGTTATCTCGGTGCTCTGGATCATTCTAGCTTTAAATTCCACGCAAATCACTGGACTTGCCTTCTACTGTTCGGTTGGCGTTTGATGATTGAACACTTCGGTGTTTTGTGTACACGGCGCGTGTTAACAGCGCGCTGTCCTCACAATCTCATCATTTCTCCTTTTGGATGAAACTAACCGATCGAGCTATTCTCCCCTGTTCTTAGATCTGAAATTTCTTGTCATGCAATTTGAACGGTTTTCAGTAGTTGGGCGGATCTCGTGCGTTTGGTGGAAAATCCTCAGACCCATTCGGAAATCTTTTGGTTGAGTTACGCTGGACTTCTTCCGACTGTTATATGCTTTCCACGCCAAACCGAGGCTTGAGTGTAGTGGTGCAGCAAAATATACCTGCATGGCCTGTGAACTGCCAAGTTGGAGCACTTACAACGAGCTGCTAGTAGCCTAGTTGTTGGACTACGTGGGACCAGCTACGAAGGTCGCTTATAGGCCACTCGCCTACTCCCACTTGCGCATCGGTTCATTAGGGGTGAGGGAGATCTGATCTGTTTAAGGAAGATCTTGAGGGGTGACTTGGGCCCGGAGTTGCAGCAGCATTTCGCACTACGGACAGAGGAACGTACGCGGGAGCACTCTCTCACGTAGCGGAAACTGCAGCTGGTTAGTCGTCCGTTAATCTTACGGAGAACAGCAACAGAATTCTTTTCCAGCGACTGTGGTACAGGAGACGACCGACGCTGCTTTCAAGCAGACGTTTGGATGAGCACTTCAAGTGACTATATAAGAACGACCACCTGTGATCAAACCCTTCATCAAGTGTTGACGGGTCTTACACGGGTGTTCTGCTGTTTGGCTTCAAGATTAAAACCTGAAGGCTGTTCATTCTGAATTATTCTGAAGATTCCAATTCCATACTAAGTTTTCTTCTCGGAATGTTGCAGTCATATCATTGAGTATTACCATCATGATATTACGAAAATAATATAGCAACCAAAGCCTGTTTTTGATAATTTCGACCTGGTTGGGTCTCGTCAGCAGTGCGAATCCATCGACCCAACTGGGAGATCGAACTTGGGACCTCACAGACAAAATGCAAACTTGTTACCCACTCGGCCACCGGGCAGCTAATCAGAACGTATTTTTATTTACCATTTACATAATATAGCACAACCCGTCTTGTTGCGGGTATCGAGCCTTGCTCATCTCAGCACTAGCCTCCGGGTTTGTGACTCGGTTGGAAACATTTACAACCAGCGGCAACAACAAACATCAATGAGCATAGACATTTTTAAAATGTGCGTGCTTGTGACACACGGGAAAAAACGCGATAAACTTCATATCCGACTGGTTTTAGATAATTTGGCATACACGCAGAACATCAGCATGTCTTGTCTTATTATTGATAATTCACTGACGAATATCCACATTACGTATATAGCAAAATCGCAGTACTCTGAGGGACTTCCGAATTATTATTGATCTGCGGTTTCGAAAACCCTTCAGCACTAACGTTCGCGGGCATTCGATCCGCGTGAAAAAGTGTATGTGGCGTCACAAACAACTGTTGTCTGCAGCGATTTAATCCCAATATGAAACGTTGCTTCAATTCCCGGCAAATTGATAATCATCCTCGGATAGCACCAAGTGGACCCTTCTTTCAAACATGAGCGATACTCAACTCGGATTGAGATGTTATGATGTGATAAAAATGTTAAAGTAAGATCGGTATGAATAAAAATCGACGGTTTTCACTTTAAATGCCTCAATAAATGCCATAACAAACGAGTATTCCATAGCACTGTCTGTGAGTTTGTATTGAGCGAAGGGCGGGGGAGTTTTTATATCCACTTAGTGCGATTATTCACAGATACTGTTTAGTTTTGTGAGTTAATCATCTTGACCAAACTTCGGTTTAAAGATTATACCACCACAAAGGTCGCTCAGCTTATTCATGAATGGTATACAGTTGTTTTTTTGTTACTTGCGCAGGTTTCCGACCGAATTCGGCCAGTCGTGATGTGTGCAAACGAGAGAAACGATACAAAGCGCAAGTACGATCCATCATCTCGATTTTTGCCTGATTTCCCTGGCGCATTAGTTTGCTGCTCCAAGCACCTCCGATTTGCCGGAAAAATTGCAATACCTGGATGACCTCGTCAGACAACATTTTGATGATACTCACGCTGCCTCTGCTGCTGAAGCTGATGGTCATACACACAGCCTCGTAAGTTGCCTTNATTTTGTTTTTGGGGAGGGAGATGACCTACTTTTTTGGCTAACCAGGACTAGCTCCTCAGAAACGCACATGGCGTTTGTCCCTGCAAAAACTCACAAAACAAAACGTGTGGGTTAGAAAACACGTCCCCTGTTCTCCCGCTACATGGCCGATGGTCACCCCCCTCCAGCAAAGAATAGTTACACTGGATAAAGATAAACTGATGTATTTGCCTATTCATTTGTCACAGAATTTACTTTGTTTTTCTGAATAACTCAGCAAGGATCGGGTTTGTCCTTATTGAATAGATGTCATCTGATAAGCAAGAGTGACCCTCAATGCTCACTCAGTTTCAGTTCAGTTTCAGTTTTTACAACCATTAACCATGCTTTTTCGTGCACCCGTTTGGTTGCTGTCTTTTGGTGCCCCATTTGGATAAAAGATGAGAATGATGATTAGAATGTTGAGAGCAGATTTAAGCGGAAGGTAGCACATTTTCATAGACTAAAGTTACAAGAAAAATGAGTAGATGCATGAGCGCCACTGTTTGCGACACCCAGCCATATCGCTCAGTGTCTCTAACCACCGATGACCATGATCTCTGGGTCCCCAGCCAGGGAGTTTAACGGGACCTATGTGACCCAGACCCCTGGTCAGGGTTTTCAAACCCTCATGCCAGGTCTTAGCTTAACCGCCATTGATATTTTTCCAACCGCTACCTGCCTCGCCAAGGATCGCTCGCCACGGCAATCTATCTGGTGACATGCGCAGCTTCTGTCCCAACCAGCGTAATCTATGGAGGTCGAATACCTGTTCCAGTGGACGACCGCGAATGCCTAAAACTCTACGCCTAACCTCAGCATTGCTCGTCCGGTTTCCCCAACAGACTCGTGCAATGCGACGTAGACAACAGTGCTCGAAAACCGATGATCTATTTTTATCCTGTTCCCGTAATGACCAAGTTTCTGCGCCATAAAGCAGCACTGGCCGAACCGCTGCAGCATATACTCGACCCTTCACAGACAACCGGATGTCGCGACGGCGCCACAGATGTCTCAAATCGGTAAATGTTAACCTTCCTTTTGTATGCGCGCCGATACGTCATCGGTGATACGTCCGCCAGGTGAGAAATAGCTGCCCAGATAGCAAAATTTCTTTACTTCATCTACCACTCCCCTAGTCAGGGTGAGACTGGGTGCTGGACCTATCCAATCTCGTAGTAGCATTTTACACTCTGAAGGTGCAAATCGTATTCCGAATATCGCTACACTAGCACTCAAACTATCCAGAAGAGCTTGCAACTCACTTGGATCTTCAATTAGTAGCACAATGTAGTCTGCATACTCTAGATCAGACAGTCTGCCACCTGGGAGCAAATCGATGCCGTTATCCTCGCACGAGGATAGGGCTGTTTCAAGAATTAAATCTATCAGGAAGTTAAACAGAGACCGAGAGACAGGGCTACCTTGTCGAACACCACTTTCGGTGGTGAGCTCGGGTGAAAAGTACCGTAAGCTCGGATTCGGCTTCGGCTATTAGTATAAAGTGATTGTAATATTGAAATAAACTTCTCGGCCACACCCTTCAGGGAAAGGCAGCGCCAGAGTTTAGAGCGGTCGACTGAGTCGAAAGCCGCTTCTAGATCGAGGAAGATAGAAATGGTGAGTCTACGAAATTGGTGTCTGTGTTCTAGGATTTGACGAAGAGTGAAGAAGATGTGGTCGATACAACCCCGACCCGGTCCAAAACCAGCCTACTACATGATGCTGACATCGCTTTGGGTTAACGGTCAATTGTGTGAATGCAAGTGGTTACCAATTTATTTCATAATAACAAAATTCCAAACTGCCGGTTCGTGATCCCCAGTTGAGTAGATGGATTTGCACACTGCACTGATGAGGCCCAACGAGGTCGAAATAGCTGTTCAGTGCCTTCGAGCTTTTCAGCTCACACTCCATTCAAACGAAAAAATAGTAATTGTCATTCGAGAGAACGTTTACGATGAAAGCTGCAATTTTCCAACACACCTTTGAATGACGTTGCGAATCGATCAGATCAAACTCATGTAACATCACTCTCATTTTGGAAATCTAATGTTATATTTTTTATTGATAGCTATGGGTAAAGTGTATTTATTCCGGACTTTATCTCCCACTTCTATGTTCTTAATTCTCTTTTATCGGATGAAGGTGAATATATCTTCTCACTTGAGATTGGTGGTAGAGAACGGTTAGGTCTCCTCAAACATCATTTTTACATGTTGATGCAGTTTCTGGATGGGTCACCTCCATTATCGAATTCATTCAATTAGCAGTTGGGATTTGGACATAATTGAAAACTTAGCCCTGTGAAGTATGCTGATAGCGTCGTTTTGTCTCAGACAGTTTCATCTCCCTCGGACTCTCCTTCTTTTACTGAAAACCTATCCCACATCCAACAGTTTTCTGACCAATCTGGTCCTTGTCTTAACATATCTAAGTGCGTAGTGTGTATTTTCAATCTTTCCCGCTCATCATTTCCAACGAACTCCGCTACCCTTCACGATATACCTGTATCGAGAATGACCTCAGTGAAGTACCTGGGTGTCGCCATC